TTAACAATGGTTATTTTCTGAGATTTAGTTAAAGGTCCCATGAAGTGCTTTGAAATGTGCATTTTTATTAAATGTTTGACGTAAGCTCAACCGAAAGATGAAGAGGGAGTGGGACATTGTGTAGCCCCTCCCCTTTTTAAAAAACAGCCAATAGCGTTTTGTTTTTATCACATCTGATTGGTCAAGATTTGATGAGAAACTGAAGTATGAGGTGACGCCAACTTGATCCATTTGGGCGAAAGTGACAAACTATATGCTTTACATGTTCATATCGGCTTTAGGGCTGTGTGATTCGTCTAAATCGAATCGCAAACACAATTTGAAATGTTGCGATTAGTTAAACACAAGAGGCTGCAAATATATATATATATATATATATATATATATATATATATATATATATATATATATATGTGTTTGTGTGTGTATTATTTAATTAATTATTTAAGAGCTGTATTTGAACGGTTCTGAGGTTAGGGATAGGGTTTATGTAGGCTAGGTTGATATTCCAGCTTCATATCACACTAACCTACATTAAAATTTACAGTAGTAGTAAAATCTGATGGGTAGCATATTGCGTCATCAAAATGTGCTACCAACTTTTTGAATAGAAGGTAGGACAAATCGACAGATCAGTGACAGCCTTACTAGCCAATTGAGTGAGCACACTGTCGCACACTAAAAAAAACAAACAAACAGGAAAGTGCTGACATGTGGGATGATGGGGTCTGCTGTTTCAGAAGAAAGACAAATTAATTTAAAAAAAAAAGGCATGTCGGTAATATGGGAATATTTTGGTTTCAGTCACAGACACCAAACAAAAAAAGTTCATTATTAAGAGCTGTCACAGATTTGTTGCCATGGCTTACAGATTATTGAGCTGATGCTTGACTATAAAATTAAATCGTAAATCAAAATCGCAATATGTCAAAAAAAAAAAAAATAAATAAACGTAATTAGATATTTTTCCCAAATTGCACAGCCCTAATTGGCTTTATATCTCCTAAAAGCAATTTTGTCACTGTTTTGGTGTGCACTAGCTCATAAATATCCCAAATAAAACACATTACTGATACTATCATCTAAAAAACCTTCTAGATAAACAAACAAAAAAAAAACTTTGTTAATCTTAGTTTATTTTGCTATCTGCACATTAATATTATTAAATGGACCTGAGTTAACAACGACCAATTGATTTAATATACCAATTAATGTTAATAAAGTAATAAATAAAAATGTAGAGTAATAATAATGTAAAAATCTTAATGCACAATTTCATTTTAGAAATAGGGTCTCTCAACCAAACTTCTTATTGGGCCTTAAGACAACAAAAATTGCCCAAACAACTTCAAGATATTTAACATTCCAGGCCTGGAAAATTCACATTTACAATTGTAAAACTTTTATAAAATATAATTTAGTGAAGCTCTAATACAAATTATATGTGTAGGCAGGCAGACAGACTTGTTTTCAATTTAATCTTGGCTATATAATTCCTGATTTTTATTTTATTTTTTATCTATCTTATTACATTCTCATTCATAGCTGCTGGCTGAGATCGCAAATCAAGAGAAGAATCAGGATGCTCTACGATTGGCTGTCGCAGAAAAAGAAGCTCCTCTGAAAGTGGCTCAAACTCGACTGTCCACACGCAGTCAAAGACCCAACGTTGAGCTCTGCCACGATCCGCCTCAAATCCAACTGCTGGCACAGATCAAAGAGCTCACTAACCATGTTCAGAGGTAAAGATTTACATTGTTAGGAACAAATGTCCCTTATAGCAACAGTTGTCAATAGCATTAGTCACTCACTAGTGTGCCTGTAGATGCCAGGGGAGTGAATACTTATTACTTCATAATTAATAGCAACAACTTCTCCGTTGTTACTTATAATATCTTACATTTTTCCCCTTTGACTTTGATGAGGATTCATCTTTAAGACTATGACTAATATGCAGAGGTTTGTTAAGTAAGTTATGAAGAGTCTAAGTGCTTACAAACTTTGTGGGCCCCAAGTAATCTGCTTTATTAGTTTTAACAGTACTAACAGGGGGCCTAACTTTAAATATTTTTCATATGGCCCCTGCTAGTATGTTTTACTATAGTTCTGACTAGTACATATTTAAAATACTATTCTGTTAATCAATCATTAGATACTAGCACTTATTAAATACTCTATATAAAACACATAAAAGTTTTTATTTTTTACATACTAGTATTTATTCATTAGACACTAGTTCTTATTGTATGCTACTAGTACTTATTAATTAGAAACTACGTCCAAATACAAGAGTACCTAGTTGATTATTAGCAACTGGTACTCATTTATTAGACATAAAATAATTTCTCATTTAACATGCATAACATTCCTCATCTTACTAGTAAGAACTGCTTATGTTAATCTTCTTAAGCTATGACTAGTCTGAAAGATCCGAATAGAGTTCAATTAAAAAGAAATTACTAGTGAAAAAAATCTTACTAGTAATGTCTTTAAAAAGTATTGGAATCGGTACTAGTATTGGAATAGGTACTAGTAGCCAATCAATATGCAGCAAAATCTAGTATCTAGTTCATGTTTATATTTGTCTAATAAATGAGTACTAGTATTGATTAAGTAATATCATCTAACAATATTTACTGGTATCCAATGAATAAATAATATATACAAATATGCACTAGCGTCATTAGGCAGACACCCTAGTTTTTCACAATTTCTTTTGTGATATTTTGCAATAAAAATGACTTTGTGGCGGTTATTCCCAGAAATTTGTGGAAAATTTTGCGAAAAAAATATACAAATTCATTCATTCATTTTCCTGTCGGCTTAGTCCCTTTATCAATCCGGGGTCGCCACAGCGGAATGAACCGCCAACCTATCCAGCAAGTTTCCACGCTGCAGATGCCCTTCCAGCCGCAACCCATCTCTGGGAAACATCCACACACACACTCATACACTACGGACAATTTAGCCTACCCAATTCACTTGTACTGCATGTCTTTGGACTGTGGGGGAAACCGGAGCACCCGGAGGAAACCCACGCGAAGGCAGGGAGAACTTGCAAATCCCACACAGAAACGCAGAGGTTCGAACCAGCAACCCGACCTTCTTGCTGTGAGGCGACAGCACTACCTACTGCGCCACTGCCTCGCCATATACAAATTTATTATTTTTTTAAATACATGTAAAACAATTAAATTCAAACTGAAATAAATCTAATTTAAATTAAATGGTTTAGAATTTGATGTTTTATGAGATTATTTAAATTTTTTGTGATTTTTAATTTTTTTTGCATTAAATTAAGAATTTTGCACCATTGCAAAAATTTTCGACTTTTTTTTGATTTTGTGTTGGATTCAGCGATTGCAGAATTGCGAAAAACTAGGGGGTCTGATTAGGAATGCATACTAGTCAAACCTGAGTAGTGCAACACAGGCTCATTGTGAAAACGTAGCCCTATATACACGTTTCTGGAGATAGCAAAATATGTAGCCAGAGCTTTTTCAGAGTTAGCAGCTTACCACTTACCTCCGTGTGGACTGCTTTCCCGCTGTTACCAGTATGCCCAGTTAGCTCGCCATGTACGTTGGCGGACTTGAGATGCAGAGCGGAGTTGACCGCGACAACAGGGTTCGAGTCTGGCGAAAAACGGTTTTAGAAAGCGGGTAAGACAAAAACAAAAGCTAAAACAATAAAATAAACAAGTAAATAGCAGGGTGAGAACATGGTAAAATCTGAAAACGTGGTAAAAATCAGGGGGCTTTTCTTTTTCTGGATTACTTGTTAAAACACTGGGGTCAGGTTTAGGGAAGGGGGTGGGTGGGTCAATCAGTGTTTTTTAAAAATGTTATTGATTGGGTTTAGAGAAGGAGGGGGTGGGGGTAATCGGTTGGTAAGTTAATAAGTCAGTCGGTCGACAGTGTCTTCTGGTGGGTTTACATGAAAACAGCAGGTGCGAATGGCACTCGCAAGAGGAATTGGAATTCTCAAAAAGTATACACAGCGGCCTCTGGTGGATTGGTGAAAACTGCAAACAAACGTAGCTCCTGGAATGTATTTTGCTTTCTTTACAAATGTATATAGGGTTACGTAATCGGAATGAGCCTGTCTTGAAATAGAGATATCTAAATAACAGATCCCAATAGAAGTGAATAGGAAAATAATAAAAACATTGTGAGAACAGAACAACATAATTTATTCAACAAGTGCCAATGTCTATGAATAAAAACTAGTATCTAATTAATTTTAAAAGCATTTCCCCTGTATGTTTCCCCCCTCAGACTGAGCGAGGCTCTGGAACTCTCAGAGTCTGAACTAAAAGCTCTAGCATACAACCAACTGAGACTGGAAGAGGAGATCCAGGTGAAGACAAACTCCCTGTACATAGACGAGGTGATCTGCCATCAGCTGCGCCAGCATATCACTATACAGAGCTTCTGAACATGTACAATGGAAAAACCTAGTGATGTTTTTAAAACATTTAATGTGTTTAAAAATCTCTAATGGAATGTTTGTTTGTTAAACACAGACATAAAATGCCTGCAAAAATAAATAAATAAATAAATAAATAAAAAATAAAAATGTTTCTTGGTTATATTATGAAAAACATGAATGGATAGATTATTATAATAATAAAAAATAATCATAATATTATATTATACAGAAACATCATTTTAATTTGATATGAAATAATGTCAGTGCTGGCTTCTTTAATTGTTAAGTTGCGCTGTTAATCATGGGAGGCGTTTCAACTGCACACATCTCTATGATAACAGCGTCATTTCTCAAAAGTCAAATGTGATGAAATAAAAGCACCAAATGCATCAAAGACAGGAAACAATCTGCAGCCACATCAAGTCTTTGAGCTCTTCAAATATAAGGTGAGCAATCCGTTTAAGAATTTAGAAATAAATGCGTAGTTGTGTTAGTTCTTAACTAATACAACTACAGGTATTTTTGTATTATTGTCATTGAGAACAGACATGATTTTTGTTTTTATCTCTCATTACATCAGTCTGAGATGCTGCAAACATTGCTGTTCATCTCAACTGTCATTCAAATTACAGACTGTTTCATAGGTCCATATCTCTTCCGTAAGTGAAAAATGTTTGTACTTTGTGAATATCTTATGTTTGTGTTTGTGAATATCTTATGACAACCCATATCAACATTCAAAGACAAAAGAGTGAATAAAATGTAATAAAACAACAGTATTGCATGCTGATTTGTGATTTTTGGTTTTAACCTCAGGCCCTGATCAACCACTTGACTTCTCCATCTCAGTAAATGATAACTACACTGGAGAGGCCAGTTTGTGCATCAGAGTGTTTTGTTCATTTACTGTACCACAAAGGGTGTTAGACTCAGAAGAACCCATTAGGAGAACCTGGATAAAAGGAGATCCACAAAACCCAACTGTTGAAGTACCTTCTGTTGACTTTGGAGTTTCATATGGCAAGGCAGAGTGTAACTTTCTGCTGAAAAACTTAGTTCAAGGACAAAATGATGGAGACTACAGACTAAAACTAGAATGGGGACATGGAAATGTGCACATCTTTAATAAGACTGTAAGGATTATCGTAAAAGGTTGGTTTTATGTTTGTTGTACACATTTTTCGTTGTAGGTTGGGAAAAAAAAAGTATATCATGATCTGTTTGAATATTTTATTCTGTGCTGGAATCCATGCATATAAATTCCACTCCAATTTATATAAATCAATGTTTTCTTACTGCTCTATTTTACTGACAATTTGTTTTTAGATCTAACTAACTACCCTTAAACTAATGACTTAAACTAATCAACTATTCAACTAATGAATTAACTAAAATTTAAGGCGAATTTAAAGTGGTAAACATTACACTTGGCAATAGATGCCTTTTTGTCAAACCAATCACAAGTGGTCAACACGAAATAAAGTAAATATGACCTGAAACATTTAAAGTGGAAGTGAAGCAGTCAGTCAAGTTTACATTATTTTGTAAATTGGTTTCCACTTTAATGAAAATATATTAAGCAAACTCAATCAATGTAACAATTTTGAAGAAAAGGCTATGTTTTACTGTAGCTTTAAGAGCTAGGGCGCCGCCGTCTTTGAATATCGCTGTGTCTGACACAAGTGTGCCTCAAGCCTCCTTTTGAGTGTCGCTCCCGACCGTTAGATCGCCCCCTGGGGGCTGGCTGCAGTACAAGTCATAAACTCTGCATCCTCCATGTTAATGATCTAGACTTGAGCACAAGCAAAAAAAATGAATCACACTTGTAATAAAATGTCCCGAAATATGATTGTGGTCACTTAGTGCACTGGTTATCACGGTGATATAGGTGCAGATCTTCATTTTTCCAAAGAGTTTTTAGCCAGTAATTTAATGCTATAAAAATGAGGCGTGTCATCGTGATTGACAGTTGTGATTGAGAGCTTCTCAAAGCAGACCGTCGGAGCTTCAGGAGGAGATTGAAGTGTTATTATACGATTTCTGTGTTATTTTACCATGATATAATGAGTTGTTCAGCAGTCAACTATACTTTCTGACATAAAGGATCTGATGGATCACCGTTTATTCAGTAAAATTTTCTGGCTTTATTATTGCTGATACACACCATGACGGAGAAAATACAGGTGATCGTTATCTAGGAGTAATTCTTTTTGTGGGTCTGAAAAAATAATTGGGCCTCATGGTGGCGCAGAGGGTAGCACAATCACCTCATAGCAAGAAGGTCGCTGGTTCGATCCTCGGCTGGGTCAGTTGGCATTTCTTCAGGAAATTCAGGAAGTCTATAGGACTGGATCTGATTTCTTGTGTAGTGTAGATACTCGTGGTGAAATGGGTTTGAACAGCCACAAGACCACCAACTATCAGAAATCACATATTAAAAATATCTTTAGTAATATTTATTAATTTGGGTGATGATGGCAGCATTACATTTAGGAGAACAAACCCTTCAACGTGACCATAAGTGGGTTTATTTACTGCCAGTGTACATCAAACTATTTAGGAATTAAGAGTGTTAGAATGAATAATTCTGTCTTATTCCCATCAATCTATGTGTTTTAAGAACTCACCGAGAAGCCAACAATTGAAGTCCCACTGCTCACAGCTGGAGAAAAGGCAGAGATATCTTGCAGAGCTCCAGGGACTTGCCTGAACCCCAAAATGGGCATGTTCTGGGAGGGGATTGAGCCTGAAAGAACTGAAAGAAAAGCTTTTGGTGTGATTGGCAGAGAAGATGACTTTTTACTATTGATATTCCATCCTAAGCCCGAACATCACAATATTAACCTGACCTGCAGAGTTATTTTTCAAGAAAACATGCAGACTGAAGCTACTGTGACTCTTGAAGTAAGACGTATGTATCATTTCCTTTACAATTCACTATGAGAGAAACAAAATGGCTCTAATAGCATTATGATTTAATGATAATTATGATTTCAGATGCTCCTAAAATCTCGAATAGCTCTCGCTGTGTGGTGTGGGGAGATGAATTGATCTGCGTGTGTGTCAGTGGGGGTTTTCCATTACCCGACATATACTGGTCACCTCTGGATGACGTTACCGAATATTACATTGCTTTTTCAAATGAAAACACCTTCAGCATCATCAGCATCTCCACTGCTAGTTTCAGAAACCTCAACATGACCATAGTTTGCATCAGTATGAATCCTATTGGTTTGGAAACAATGGAAATCCAAGTGGACGAAAAGTTGAAAGGTAAACAGTACACTACACAATCAGTTTTACAAGTACTGAGGAAAAATCTCTCTTTATTTTAAAAATCTCTTATTTTTGTGTTTCTTAGCAAGTTGGAAGTTGCCCACCAGTTGGATTTTCTTTAGCATTTCACTTGTTTTGAATATCAGCTTGGCTTCTTGCTTGATTGTCACTCTGAGGTAAGAAGTTCATAAACCTATTAAATAGTCTTTGACTGGTATGTTTTCGTCAGTAATATAACACATCACCATTACTCTTGATATTATAACAGAAGGAAAGGAAAACCTAAACCACAAGATGACAACCGTGTTTACATATCGCCAATGAAGAGTGATGAATCAGTGTACGAGACGATTCAAATGTCTTCAGAGAGCTCTTAGTGATTTAGTAAAACATTTGACATTTTTACTGAATTAAGCTTTTTCTTTTGCTAATGTTTTAAAACTATAATTTTATGCCATCCAAATGTGAGTTTCTCAGTTCAGTATGTATTTTAAAAAACATTTAAAACAGTCCACCTATTCCACATAAACCATTTAGATTTGTTTTATTGTTTACATCATTTTGCACTTACTTAAATGTCTTTCTGTCCCTTTGTGTTGATAAGTATATATGCATGTACTCTGAGCTCCTGTAAACCACAAATAATCCTTGTGTGTTTTTGCACATTTGGCATATAAAGCTAATTCAGATCATTATATTATGATTTAAATCTGAATAAAGTTGTGATTTTATGACTTATGCTATAATAAAAGATTATGTGATTCTCTTAGATTCTCTGGGAATTTCCCTCCAAATTTCTGCCTGCTTTTATGTGTGTTTGGGGCAGGAATATCCATTTGCATGGTCAATTATGGATGAGGTGGGTGTGTGGGGCTTGGAAATTTTATAAATCTGTTAAAATATAAATAGTAAATCAGTGAAAATTATTCATTCATTCATTTTCCTTCAGCTTAGTCTCTGATTAATCAGAGGTCACCACAGCAGAATGAACCTCCCAGTAAAAATTATTTAAGCTAGAAATGTTCCTTTGTTTTTTTTTTACTGCGGTTACTGTTTCGGCTTGGGTGCTGTAACACAAGTATTGAGCAACATCTCAGTGCTGCGGATAATGATGAGTTGCAAAAAATGAACACAATCTGTTAGATCGAGAAACAGCACTAATCTCATCCAAAGAAAAACTGCTGTCACAACCGTTTTCTTTTTTCTTTGATGTAAAACTTTTTAAAGTTAGGAGATAACGATATCTAAATATTCATTTCCATCGTTTGAATCTACATTACACGTTTGGTTTCCAGTGACTGAACTTCGGTTTCATCACGTTAGAGATGCTGCAAACGCTGCTGTTCATCTTGGCTGTCAATAAAATGACAAACTGTGAGGATTCACGTGAGTGATCTCTGTTTTATTATTTTACGCAAAAAATTGGACTACAGTTTTGTTGTAACTTTTTGTTAGATTTTGCACTAATGGCTGTGAAAAAACGTATGAAAAATAGTTTTAAAAACAACATTGCACAGTAGATTTCATACTCTTGTTGGCCACTTTATTATATGTGCACATTTGCTTGTTAACACACATGTCAGCCAAATTACATGCAAGCAGCATTTAGGCAATGGTGTAGATGAGGTCAAGACAATCTGCTCAAGTTCAAAAAAGGGATTTAGAGTGAACCGGAAGTTTGTATTTATATAATGACGTATTTCAGTTTTAATTTAAAGCGGGGTTTTAATTTAATGATCTTCCTCTTTTCACTTTCAGCAAACTAATTAGTAAATAAACTATTTTCTAGGGTCACTTTGACCATGTTCATCTCTTTATGACCACACTTTTCCAGTCTATTGATGGTTACTTCCAGCAGGAAAATGCACCATATCGTATAGCTCAAAATCGTCTCGAAGTGGTTTCTTGAACATGTCAAGGTGGGCTTCAAAGTCATCAAATCTAAATCCTGTACTGTATCTTTAAAAATCTAATGGTCTAATGGGAGATTTTAATCATGTACGTCTCATACAGTCAACAAATGTGAATCAACTCTGTAAAAATCCAAAAATCTGTTATTTAAAATATGGTCCATGCAAGGCGTACCTAATAAAGTGGCCAGTGATTGTAAAGATACTCTCATAAGCAGCTAAAAAAATAGTAAAGTCAACAGAACTGTAGGTTAGCTATGTGCAATGAAAAAATAGATTAAAGTTACAGTAAGTGGTTGCAAACTATTCATACGGGCTAAATTTAAACAAACTAAGTTGAACATTACTAAATTGAATTTGTTCATTTTAAATCCAGCCTATATCAATTGTTTGCAACCACTTATCTACAGTAAAAATGTAGTAAATTCAGTTAATCTTTTTTTTTTCATTGTATATACTGTCTGCCCTAAACACAGCTTCTTAACTTTTCAGATTTTGACTGTAATGTAGTGATATGCATCTTTTGTGAAGGTGCTTCAGAAGGATAAATATTGTGAAATCGCTTTACAAGTCAAAACTTTTTAGAATTGAATTGAGTAATGGAAACCCAGCTATTGAAACACACAGTATGAAAATCAGGTCACTTTAAAGTTGACATTTAGACAGTTTAAAATACAAATAAACTCAAAGGGAATCTAACTAATCTGCTTTGATTTTGGTTCAAGAACCAGGTGGACTGAATGATTTCTTCATCTCTGTAAAGGAAAATGTCACTGGAGAGGAGGGTTTGTGCATTAGGGAACAATGTGCTTTCAGGGTCCCTCAAAATCTCTCAGAACCCATTAAGAAATCCTGGTTCAAAGAAGATTCAGAAAATGCAACTGCTAAGGTTCCTGCTTTTCTCAATAAAATCAGAATTAAACCACATGAGGAATGCAAAATTTTTAAAACAATTTAAAAAGTACTGTTTGTTTATATTTTAATTGTATTCCTAGGTACAATTTTATCATAGTAAAGCAGAAAGTCCCATTTGGAAGGAGTGCAGCTTTATGCTAAATCCTTTGGTTCTGGGTGAATCTGATGGTGAATATAGACTGAAACTGGAATGGGGTCAAGGAAACGTGCACATATTTCCTCAGACAGTTAAAATTACAGTGAAAGGTGAGTGTTTGTTTATATATCTTAAAGGGTTAGTTCGACCAAAATTACAATTATTTTATTATTTAATCACACTCATGCCATTCCAAACCCCTGTAACCTCTGTTTATCTTTTCTGTACAAGTTGAAAAATGGTGGATGAAATCTGAGAGCTCCCTCATCCTCCATTGACATTAAAGATATCTTGTTCAAAGTTAAGAAAAGCATCAACAAAATAGACCATGTGCCTGGAATTTATGGATTTTGAGCACGTCAGAGGAGGCGCAGAGGTGCAGTGGTTAGCACTGTCAACTCACAGCAAGAAGATAGCTGGTTCAAGCCTCAGCTGGGTCAGTTGGCATTTCTGTGTGGAGTTTGCATGTTCTCCCCATGCTTGTGTGGTTTCCTCCGAGTGCTCCGGTTTCCCCTACAGTCCAAAGACATGTGCTATAGGTGAATAGAATTAGCTAAACTGACCATAGAGTGGGTGTGTGAATGTGTGTATGGGTCTTTCCTAGTGATAGGTTGCAGCTGGAAGGGCATCTGCTACGTAAAACATAGGCTGAATAGGTTGATGGTTCTTTCTGCTGTGGCGACACCTGATTAATAAAGGGACTAAGCCGAAAAGAAAATGAATGAACGAATGAATGAATGAACGAATGAACAAGTTAGTACATTTGCTGTCTATGGAAATATGTTCAAGGGATTTGGAATGACATGAGGGTAGTTATCGACTGAAATTTCATTTTTGGTTGACCCCTCTTTTACAGAGAAACATTCAAAATTCATATAAATCTATATCATTTTTGGTTCTAATAAAGTTTTGTGCATTTAGAGCTCACTCAGAAACCAAAAATAAACGTCCCACGGCTCACAATAGGACAGAAGGCTGAGATATCCTGCATATTTACAATTAAGTGCCTTGTTCCAAAACTAAGGTTTGCGTGGACAGGAATTGAAGGCAAAGAGAGTACACTTGGACCTCGTGGAGTGCCTGGCTGGAATGAGTTTACTTCAATATTCCGTTTTCACCCTAAGCCTAAAGATCATAATACTAAGCTCACTTGCAAAATAATTGTTCAGGACAGAATCCAGACTGAAGCTGCTGTGACCCTGGAAGTAAGATGTATGTTTCATTTCACTTACAAAAGGCCCATATATATTTTTAGCAGCCGGTGTAACATTAATTTAAACTAAACACGGCCAAAGTAAACTTGTATCAGGAGCGACTTTTGTGAAAGCTGGTTTGAACTGGTTCAGATAAAAGATTTCAAAAGTTTATTTGGATATGTTTGAATGATTATAGCTCCATGGTGATGATTTAATATTTTAGTGTGGCTCTGGGGCCACATATATATTAATTTCCCCTCTTTAGGCTCTCAAGGTCAGACATCTGAGAGTAAAACCAAAAACTCAACAGCGAATTTATAGTAGAAACTGGAGTATTTCAATCTGTAATACCACTCTCTGCATTGTGAACAAAATTATTTTCCATCTAAATGTAAAGACAAATATACCTTGCTTTGAGTATATATGGGCCTTAAAACGTCATAACACCAAACTTTAAATAGGAGACAAACCTGTGGTGTTTTATCAGATGCTCCTGAAATCCTGAATAGCTCCCGCTGTGTGATGTGGGGTGATGAACTGTCCTGCATGTGCATCAGCAGTGGTGTGCCGTTACCCCTCATACAGTGGCCAACACTGGATGATCCCACTAACTATTGCAGTACCTACAGAAAGAACACCATCATCATTTGCAACATCTCTATTTCTGGTATCAGGAACGTCAAGGATACCATTGAATGTATTGCTGAGAACGTCATTGCTACAACAAGCATGCAAATCCAAGTGCACAATCAGACTGAAACACCCAAAGGTGGGACACAATTATCGTGTGTATTAAACAAATCATCTGAAATATTATTGTTCTTTAAAAATCTCATTGTTCTCTCAATCTCTCTCTCATCTGGCAGCAAATTTGGGTCTGTCCATGTCCTGGATTTTCTGCACGCTTTCTGTTGTTTTAAACATCATCTTTGGCTCTTGTACTGTCGTCCTATGGTATGATCTTTTGAACATTTGAGAGAAGATGGCTTACTTATGAAAACTAATCATTGTTTTATTGTAGAATGTTTGTATGCATTGCTTTATTTTGTAGATTTATTGTATTGTATTGACACTCCATTGATTTGGTCAATATGCCTCTAATATGTAGAGTATATACAATATACAATTATTTTAGAAAAAATAAATAAAATTGTTTGGGCTTCTGAATTTATGACTGCACAAGCTCTCCAAATATATTACATGTAAGTTAATATACTGAATCCATTTTGATTTGTACACAATTACTTCAAATAGCGTGATTAAATATTGTTTATGTATATATCTATGTTGTTTAAGTAGCAAGGTTAGGCCTTATTTGTGTTTACCATTGTTTAACTAGTTTGTAGGTAAAACTATGATTAATTTTCGTAAGGAAGAGCAAAATGTTATTGAGAAAAATGTTTGTATTCGAATAATTAATAACTCATTATACCCTTACAGCTTTAACAGAAGAAAAAATCGTGAGAAACCAAAAGATGTAGACCATGTTTACATGACATCACTGAAGAGAGAAGAATCAGTATATGAGACGATTAAAGTGTGAATGTGGCTGGATTGCGTATGTATACAGCTGATAAAACACTGCAGCTCCATCATTCTGGTCTCTATTTTAACTTCTCTTATGAAAAAAGGGATAATATTTCATTTACTCACCATCTATAAGCCACTTTCTTACCTTCTTCAGACGACACAAACTGCTTTTAAGCCGTGAAGTGCGTTGTAATACTCGCGCTGAATATGACTGGCCAGCGATCATGAAGATGCCGCCGCCATATTGAAACAAGTTGACCATAAGGACTTTGTACATATACAAGTCATTATCCCACGCTAGCCTACCCTATCCTTTTTTAAAGAATTTATTCTATGTGATTTTTTTTATCTAGCTCCATAATATTTTTATAGAAATACCTTTGTGGTATTTGGCAATTGATTTTAACTGTGAGTGATATATAGGATGAGCTGAGGTTTTCATAACCTAACAAAATATGTATAGACCATTTAAATGTGGTCATGTCATTGGCCCATGTACATTTCATGCTTGTTATCCAACTATTTCACAACTGTAACATGAGGCAATTTAATCATACCTTAATAAAACAGATCTTATAACATTATTTGTATGGGGCTCTCTTTGGATTCTCAGAAGCTGTAGAAATTCAAAATGTAAAACAGGAAATACGTTGGGACTATTGTTTTTGTTTACATGCCTCAAAATGATGTATAAGTAGCCTGCTTTAAAATAAGCTTGATGTTACAGACATCTTCCTGTCCAGACCACATGTTGTCATTACACCATATGATGAATCCCCAAAATAAACCTATACAGAAAATAGATGATGCGGTGGCGCAGTAGGTAGTGATGTCGCCTCACAGCAAGAAGATTGCTGGTTCGAGCCTCGGCTAGGTCAGTTGGCATTTCTGTGTGAAGTTTGCATGTTCTCCCCACGTTTGCGTGGGTTTTCTCCATGGGTGCTCTGGTTTCCCCCCCAGTTCAAAGACGTGGTACAGGTGAATTGGGTAGGCTTGTCCGTAGTGTATGAGTGTGATTGAGTGTGTATGAATGTTTCCCAGTGATGGGTTGCAGCTGGAAGTGCAGCCGCTGCGTAAAACAAATGCTGGATAAGTTGACGGTTCATTCCGCTGTGGCGACCCCAGATTAAAAAGGAACTAAGCCGAAAAGAAAATGAATGAATGACACAGAAAATATCTTGGGTAAAGGGTTAAAATTAAGGCTATGGCATAGCTTTATGCATATAATATATCAATTTTAGCATAATAGAAGAATGTAGGCTACTAGCTAATTATGAATATTTAGGAAAAGTATTATGACATTTTAATAGAAGCCACATGAAGCTGAAATACAGGATCTTTTGCATTGTAAAATAAAATTATGAAATAGTTTTGTTGAGTGTATGCACTATATTACAAATATTTGTAGACTTTTTTAGTATTTTTCTCATAAGCACCAATTGTTTTACTTCAAGCCACAATATTCATCAAATATTGAATACGCTACACTATACTGCTGTTTCACATGTTTTTATAGGTGCCAACTTTGATGGCACTGATCAGTTATATTGCTGAAAAGATTTTTTCTTTCATGTTGAATAAAAAAACAGCTTCATGAACATTTACAAATAAAGCAAATAAATGTTTTCATTTTGTATTTTTTTCATTGTAAAGAAGAATGACACCCTTTGAGGCTGGAGACTTTTATTAAACAAAAAAATAAAAAGAAAGCAAGCAAATAACATCATGTAAAGTATTATTTAAATAACGATTGGAGGTTTTCTGTTCTGCATTATTATGCATGTCAATGAGGAAACGACATTACTTTGTTCATTATTATTGCCATCACACAGTCAGATACATACAAATATTCTTTACAACACTCAAAGTGGAAAATTAGGCTTGACCTTACAAATGCGCCCCCCCAAATCTGTCCGCTAACAAATAAATATCTGTGTATATATCTTCAAACATGGACTGTCTGTGTTACTAATTGTATATGCACATATAATGTCATTTTGTGTGTGATTTCTGCAAAATATACACCATTGTCGCACAATGTAAGTTCTCGCTGTGTGGTCAGATGTTCACAACGCAGAACCATATATCATGCAGAGTATTTACATACGTTGGTATCCAACCAAGGTGCCTTGAATGTTTTATAAATGTAAGATGCCATTAATTTAATATAATAATGACTCATTAATCTGTTAGTCAAATTGCATTTCAAGGGCTAATCGCATATACGGACCATTTAACAAACATCTATTGGACACAACCTTACCAGAGTATTACATGATTACATAAAACATTACATTTATTTCAAGCACCTTGGGTGAAGTGATCCCTTTCTATGTGTTCCAAACGGCGGTTATTTGTTATTTATTTTCAGAGGATGAGCAACAATCATCCATTATTCAGTATCATATCAAATGTCAGCTTAGCCATATTGGATTGCAGGGGCATATTGTAAAGAGGGTGATTTTGCTCCTCTGTGTATTTGGATCATATCTGAGAACTCAAATATAAATATGTGTCTGAAGAAAAGGGGCGCAAAGACGTTGGGGCAAACAAAATCCAGCAACCGTTCAATAAACCAGTTTTGAATTCAGGCCTGTTTTCATTTACAAATACAAATAAATGAAGATGCAAAGTAAACTGGAAAGAAAAACAGTATTAATTTAAGGATTTATAGAACTCCTCACCCAAAAACTACTGAAAACGTTGTTATTTACTCACCAACATTTTGTTCCAAACCCAAATGTATGACTTTTTATACATCTGGCTATTTCATACAGCAATTCGGTGATCATGATCAACTCCAAGTCCTGAATTTTAAGCCTAGAATTCATACATGGCATAACGGATGTCAACGATGGTTTACAAAAACTTGAAATATATACAGGGTTCATACAGTCATGGAAAACCTGGAAAAGTCATGGAATTTTGACATGGCATTTTCCAGGCCTGGAAAAGTTTTGGAAAAACTTAACAAAGTTTTGGAAAAGTCATGGAAAACAGATATCTGTATACTTGAATATAGGTTATATAGGTTATTTAGAGGTTATTTACTTCTTTTGGCCAATCACATAGTCTCACATTATTAGTGCAGTGTAGGCATTATCTAAATCAATTTTACATAGATATAAATTGAAATTAAACATATTGTAATAAATTTAAAACATCCATTGTTCTTCAATTATTCTTTTACCATGTATATGTAGACATTGCCAGGGCCAGACGGAATCTGTGGACGTTTTTTGCTATTTCTGCGGTGAATTTTGGTAAAAATCTGCAGATTTCTGCTGAATTATTTTGGGAGTATCCAGCGGAGTATCATAACTAAAACCTTAATATATGAAATAAAAAGCAATAAAATACTGAATAAAAACTGAATAAATTCAGATTTACACATTTACACAAGTAAATTAACAGAATTAATAATGGGCTAAAAACCTGCAGAAATCTGCTGAAAATCTGCAGAATTCTGCGCGCGCAGATTCCGTGTGGGCCTAGACATTGCATAAAACGGTCATGAAAATTTATGAAAAAGTCACGGAATTTTAGTTGTAAAAATGTGTATGAACCCTGTATATAGTGCACAATGTGTTTCATTTTGTTCCTTTTAAACACTTGTTCAACATGTCCTCTCGTGTATGGGAGGAATTAAATTCTTCCAAAACGCACTTGGAACAAACTGAGTGAATAACCACAGAATTTTCATTGTTTTGGGCAAACTAACCCTTTAACAATCACTTCTGGGTGTGTGATAATGTAACAGTGTACATGTAGACTCAGAAAAGACCTGTATTTGAGAGTGTTAATCCTCCCGGACAAACCCAGAGTTGGGGATAGTGCTTAAACTGTATGTCGAGGCGCCCATAGCACCTCGTTCCCTGATGCTTCGACTTACAGCGGACACAGTGAAAAGGACCACTAGTGACTGAGACTCAAACCATACCAATGGGGTATATGCACAACTTGTGTTTTTTAACCTCTGGTGAAAGGTTTATGTGACTATTTTCAATTTCATAAGGTTCCTTTTACAGCATCGATGTTGTAATGTCATTTAAATACAATCAGTTAAAGAGACTTAAGCATTCATTAAGTTGTTCAAGAGTAAAACAAGATGAAAGACCGTGTAAACATTAGCGCCGTCAGGAGCAGCAGAAACTTCATTGAAAATACTGGGGTGTTTGAATTTAATTCAGTGCTTCTTGTCTGGTCTGATACCCAATTTATATCGTATATCAGTGTTTCTCAACCACGTTCCTGGAGGACCACCAGCTCTGCACATTTTCCATGTCTCCATCACCAAACACACCTGATTCAGATCACCAGCTCATTAGCAGAGACTGAGAGACCTGTAATGGTTGTGACAGACAAAGGAGACATCCAAAACATGCTGTGCTGTGCTGGTGGTCTATTAATCAGGCAGCGAAGATCACTTATTTTTAAAGCAACCACATCTTAAATGCTGCGATTTTGTATGGGATGACAGTTCACCGAAAGCGCTTGGGCTGGCTGACTGAAAATGAAAAGTCTGTGTGCATATACCCCATCCCTTGCTTCAAGCCTTAAGCTCTTGTCATTTAAACCAGAACACTCTCTCAACCAGAACTCATTTCTGATTAGGAGAACTATCTGATATGGTTTATAATGGGGGAAAGTAATCAAAGACACAAATATATCGGAAAAATATATATTTTAGGCTAAAATATCATTCCTGGAAGCTTGAAGATGCAAGGGAGCGCAACCTCGAACTCTAAAATCATCCTCTAGCTGTTTTAGGATGATTCTCCGCAAAAAAGGCCAAATTTAATCATTTTTAATAGTAAATTGTGGGGCAGAGGGAATGATTGGACACTAGTGGCCACTGCGTCCCGTTTGGCCGAGGCATTAGGGAAGAATCGCGGTTCATTTAGCTTTAATTTCAGTATAGTCACTGCCGTCACCATCAGCCCTCCTGAAAACTCCCTCTCGGTGTCGTCCATGGAGAAACTCTAGGGCAGCGTAATTCAGCTCTTGCCTCTCCATGCCTGCCATTGGGCCCACAGATTGGTAATCGCTGTCGTCTCCCTGTGAAAATTACATTAAAGATATTTAGGCACAACATTTGGAAACAGAGAATTTGGAAAAAAAATGAGTAATTCAAAACAAAAGTCTTCAAAAGCATTGTTATTAGCAATTAGCAGCTAAACATAATGAGGTAGCCAGCGTATGGACTATTAGCTTCAAGGCAGCAGGTGTTAAAACAGAAATGAATCTAAAGTAGGAATCAGATTTTTTTTATTCTCATCAGTTTTTTTCAAGTTCATTTCACTTCCACCTATTTGTTTGCATGCTCATCTGAAATTGTCAGCCTTACCGTGCCTTCCTCTAGGATGGAGTTAAACTTTGAGCCCAGGAGCTCAGTCTTAAGCTACGTTAGGGGAAGAAAAAGAGACAGAGAATGCAGAGAAGCAATGAAAGAGGAGAGAAAAGATGTCAGGAAATGCTATAAGCATAGGCCACACTGGGACTCTGTTGTGATGCGCCATCCACATTTGGATCCTAACACTAGCTATGTACGGCATAGCATACTAGCATAATTATACAGTCATGTGTATGCAATATACACATTTTCTGTATGCACAAACTACACAGCTGATTACATTTGACAAAAATATGTAGTATGCAACAAAACAAAAAAAACACTATATTTGACAATACAATGTTTGATTTAATGATGCTACCATGCCAAAATGTAGTAATAATGGAATAATTAATGTACTTTATTGAATCTATGCCACAAATAATTAAGGAAGGTAAAAGTATGATGGTAAAAGCAAGGTATACCTAATAAAATGGCCAGTGCTTGTATACTGTGCAGCATTCATTAAGTTTTTTTTAAAGTTCTACTTTTTTGTTTTTGTTTTTTTGTGAAAAGTTCTTCAAACACCTTTTTTTTGTAGTGCGAAGTACATTTTAATAATCTAAAGAAACTTGAAAAGGTTTCATGGATGTCAAAGATTCATCATGGAACCACTGATACCAATAAGCAACCTTCATGTATGTATATAGAAATGTTTTGTTCTAAATGTGGAAAGCTAATAACAACAAGAGCCAGAATGTAATATCATTTGCCACATGTATGCTTGGACCATTTGACTGTACGCTGTGGTCACTTTTATTTTGTATTATTACGGTGTGTGCAAGTACATATTGTGTGGGTGATTTATACATCACTGTAATATCTCACCACTTTTTTCCTGAGACTCTGTTTGTCCTTCTTGACTGCGCTGTAGAACATTGAGGGATTCTCCACTTTAGATCCCACGTCCTGCCCAGGATTACCATTCTCTCTGAGGGGTGGAGTCAGAGAATCAGACTCTGTCTCACACTCAACCATACTGTGTAAACTAACTGGCTTGTGGCAACACTTTAAAGGGATAGTTGACCCAAAAAATCAAACTTTTATCATTGTTTACTCACCCTCATTACATTGCAAACTGAAATGACTTTGTTTCTTTGGTGGAACACAAAACCAATGCTGCATCCCAATTCACCTATTTATACCATGTCCAAAAAGTATGCACTTTTTAATGTGTAACAGAACAGCTTTGGGAAATACAATGTTAGTCATTATTGGACCATGATTTAGTTCTTAACTGTGTGCCCTGTCAGTCATCTTGTCACATCCTTGCCATTTTTTATTTTATAAATAATATAAACGAGGTAGCATGGTAACTTCCATTTGCAGGTTAATCATCCAGATCATCTCCTCTTGTATTTGCATAATTCAAAAGTTAATGACCAAACGTTTCTATCATTCCAACCACTTTACTTAAGACTCTCGTCTTCTTAGTCTTGCACATCCGCCATGTTTGTAGTTGTTTACCCATATTTGTAGTTCTAATGGACTATATGCACAGCATAGTGTTTTTCAGCCAATAATGAACTTCCGGTGAAAGCTTTATGCGACTATTTTCAATTTCATAAGGTTCCCTTTACAGCATCAATGTTGTAATGTAATTCAAATATAATTAGTTAAAAAGACCTAAGCATCCATTTGGTTGTTAAAGCGTAAAAAAAGACGAAAGACTGTTTAAACGCAGACGTTGTCATTAGCAGCAGGCAAGCACAGAAATTCCACTGAAAATACTGGGGTAAAGACATGACGCAGTAAAATATAATTAAATGCAGTGCATCTTGTTTAGTCTGATACCCACTTTATATTTTATCTCAGCCAGGCAGAGAAGATCGCTGTTTTTTAAAGAAATCAGATCTTAATTTTGTATAGGATAGCAATTAACCGGAAGCCCTGGGGCTGGCTGACTGACATTAGTCTGTGTGCATATACCCCATTGAACGCAATGCGCGATGTGTTGTGACCAATATTAGCCATTAAAGTGTGCACAAAACGAAACTAAAAGACCATCTGAGTAACTTCGAAATACTAATTTAAAGGTTTTATGATTTCCATATTTTAAAGACATGGTACAGAAAAATATCATTTAAAGCAGTGCATCTTGTTTGGTCTGATACCCACTTTATATTGTATCTTAGCCATAAAGTAAACATTGCTATTTTATAAAGATCTTAAACGTGGTGATTTTGGTTGGGCATAACAAATAACTGGAAGCCCTGGAGCTGGCTGACTGAAATTAAAGTCTGTGTTCATATAGCACTTTGAAAGCAATGCGCGATGTGTTGTGACCGATATTAGCCTTTAGAGTGTGCAAAAAGTACACTAAAATAAGACCATCAGAGTAAATTCGAAATATAAACGTATTAAAGGAAATTCAAATGTATTAATCGAAATTTAAACGTATTATGATTTCCATTATTTAAAGACATGGCGCGGAAAAATATAATTGAATGCAGTGCCTCTTGATTAGTCTGATACCCACTTTATATTGTATCTCAGCCAGGCAAAGAAGATCATTGTTTTAAAAAAAAATCAGATGTGTATTTTGTATTGAATGGCATTTAACTGGAAGCCCTGGGGCTGTCTTACTGAAATAACTTTGAAATACTAATTTAAATTATATTTTTTTGAAAATAATTAAAAATGGACAAGTATGTGAATTGGGATGCAGCACAAGACATTTTGCAGAATGTTGATTAAGCTGCTCTTTTCCGTACAATTAAAATGAATGGAGACTGGGCTTATAAAATGATATGCAAGAACCAATGACAAAGATTCTCAGTGAATAACTTATGCAATCACATGCCGAGCACACTTCAGAATTGTTATGCACAAAATCAGGCTGGCAGCTCCCATTATTTTTCATTGCATGGAAACGACTGCTTAGACATTCGACTAAATATGTTTGCAAGTATTCCTCTGAAAAAACAAAACCATATGCTGGGGAAAAACACAAAATATATTTTAGGTCAACTATTCCTTTAAGCCTGGGCATCCATTTTAATGCAAGGGGATCATTGAAACCCCTAAATAAAAATGGCATTTTGCCACAGTGTCAAGTTTGGGAGTGTTTCATTTAAATTTCCAATAAGACGTTTCATTTTTTTGTGCAAAATAAGATAGGAGCAGGGTGTTTGCTGCAGAGCTTAGCGGTTTTGAGGCTGAAAAAGCAATGACATGGGGCAATTGAACCTGCAACAGATTTGTTAGTCTGCAGTTTCATGCACATTGTGGCATGTTTACCATCTTACCAAGCAATCAAATTGGATCATCTGTAAGTGGGTTATGGCTTAAAAACCAAATGCCAAAAAAACTCAAACAAAACTGAACATGGATGACTAGGCTTGAAACCTACAAACCCCACCAAAATGTTCTCCTCCCAGTCCTTCTTATAAAGGATACTCACTTTTTATTATTCTGACCGACGTATCTCACAGCTGCAATGATGAAAGCGATGACCGCTACACCTCCGATAGTCCCCACAATGACGGCCATCATGTACTTCTCTGTAAAAGTGCATATGGTTCATTGATGTTACCTCAAAATGACATTAACAGTGGCACATGTGGAAGGTCTACTTACTCTCCTGCTGCAGTTCCAATCGGATGGTTTCAGAGCCGTATATGTTGGTGATACTGCAGTGCACATGGACAGCGGTATCGCCATTGTTCCCCCTTTCACCCTTGTCTTGTAGCTTGATGACCCCTGTGGATGTGTACCCATCTGAGTGCGTGTAGTAGTTGAAACGGTTGTTGGAGTTGTTGATGGTGACGTTGAGGTCAGGAAGGTAGAATTCAATCGCAGGTTCTGGGTTTCCAGAGGCAATGCACACACACTGAACACCCTCACGGACTATAGTACACTTAGAGTCATCAAGGAGGACTGGAGCAACTGGGAAAATTAAACGGGGGTTATCAAAACCAGATTTTAATGCAAGTATGAGAGCAAAACCACACTTTTAGTAGCATTTAGGATATTAAGATCTTGAACTCAAGGACTTGAGTCTCATCCAGAATCAATTATTACAGCACTACTCTATATTTACTACTTTTATTTAGTTCATCTATGATCATCATGGTCTTTTAAGCTGAACACAAATCAAAATTGTCCTGAATTACAGGTTCATTATGTTAACTCAAACCATTTTTTCCCATTGACTTACATTCTACTGTGATGTTAAGTGAACTGCTGGCCCGTCCATGCTCATTTTCAGCTAGGCACCGGTAGACTCCATCAGCCTGTGGCATGATCTCATGTAACTCCAGCACAGATCCCTCCTCTGCTGTGATGGTTCCCACCAGCTCCCCATCCTTCAGCCAAGTCAATGTGGGCATTGGGTTACCTTTGCTGGTGCACTGTAGGGAAACTGAGGATCCCTCCAACACCGTCAGAGACTCATTGATCCATGGCTCCCGTGGAGGATCTTCCAGTTTAATGAAGAGAACAAATTATTTCCTGAACACTTCCTATTCCTTTACAGCTGATTAATCTGGTTTATATTACAGTTGTCTATAGGACAGACTTTGGTACCAAAACCCATTAGATTCCCACATTTCAACCCTGGAGTTTCAAGCCTCAGACCGGCCCACCTAAGTTCACGACTGACTATATTAAAATAAGGTCATTTCCAAATCAGTTTCTAATGACACTATCACGTATTTTTTGAGAAAACAGCTGCTTTAGAACTTCAAATGTTCAACAACCCTAACGCCCCATTCACACGGGGCGTCAGCATCAACGCTTCCCATTCACTTTGAATGGGTGACGTCAGGCGTTGCCGAACTGCATTGTGGATCCATCGGCACCACTTCAGAAGCGTTGCTCGCTGCAGAAGTTGGGACTAGCTCAACCTTTTAAGCGCCAACAGAAGCGTCAGCCAATCAGATCGCTGTATGCAAATACACCAGCACAGACAGTGGCCTATTGCTGACTGAATTTCATTGGCTGACGCTTTATGACGATCGCTTCAGCCCCAACTTCATATACGCCTTCCGTCAAGCGTTGACGCTGAAGCCCCGTGTGAATGGGGCGTAACAGTATTATATGTCTTAGCAATAAAAATGAAAAAAAAAAAAATACTCAGACAAGGATCGAACCCAGGTCCACAGCATCGTAAACTAACATGCTAACCGCTGGACCACAACAGCTGTTCATTCAGAAGTGACTCAGTGAGAAAATAGATAAAAAGGAGGGGCTGCGGTAAAATAATGAATGAAAAGGCTGTGGTCAAGTAAATAAATAAATAAATTTAAAAAGTGTGACTGCTGAGAGCAACAGATTCTGGAGCTAGGGATACCGGCCCTCGCGGCCAAAAAACGGACCGGCCCACCGGGAATTCTCCCGGTCCTTCCGATTAGCCAATCCGGGCCTGGATTCCCATTAAAATTGGAGTTCTGTTGAACAGGTTTTTAAGAAGGGTGGCACAGTGGCTTAATGATTACCAGAATGATGGTTCAAGTCCAGTCTGGGCCTGTGTTCGGTGGGTTTCCCCCACAGTCCAAAGACATGCGGTATAGGTGAACAGGATGAACTAAAATTGCCTGTGGCTAAAATTGAATGTGTGTGAATGAGGTCATGACTGTACTCCCAGTTCTGGGTTGCATCTGGCATATACAAAACATATGCCAGAGTAATTGGCTGTGGCAGTAAATCAGCGACTAAGTTGAAGGAAAGTGAGGGAGTGAGGTTCCTAAACACTGCTGATTGGCCATTATGTCTGTGATTGGGTCCAAAGATCATCGCTTCACCACTGCTTTTCGGCAAGCGTGAACAGACATACAAAGACACTGGAGTGTTTGAAAGCCATGTCTATCCAAAAATTGGTTTATGTGCAGATATATATGAGTGATCTGCTGATGGATCAGCTGATAGCTAAAATACATGGACTGCAATCACAATCGTAGTTGTCATCTGCATCCTTTTCATTACATTTTCCCCAATATTTCTATATCCTACTCACTCATAAGCCACACAACACAGGTTTGTTTAATCAATTTAGCTTCAAAAGTTCACACTTATATATAAAGCGAGTCTGGCATGCTGTCTCAGGAGAGAGCTCTGAGCTCATAAGATCCTCAAGCCCGGGGGTCCCTACTATTTACAGGGCGAGAGGGGAGTTTGAGCTCAGTTAGGTCTCGAGAACTCAACCTCTTTGTTTAGAGCTGATGACAGATTATAAGTTGGTTATGAGCTTGACTATAGTGCTAATGTAGATTGATCAATTCACTTTTGACACATGTTTTTTGGACTGTGGGAAAAAAAACAAAGAACCCGGCGGAAACCTACACGAGCATGAGGAGAACGTATAAACTTTGCACAGAAACGACAGCTGGTCTGTTAAGAATTTGAACCAGTGATGTTCTTGCTGTAGGGCAACAGTGCTAACCACTGGGCCACCATGCCACCCTATAGAGGGAATAGGGGTGGAATAGGGGTGGAAGGGGGGATTCTTCAAGGCGAATATAACCGTAGTAAGAAACTCTGGTTATTTAGTTAGGAATCATCTTATTGGTGAATCATGTGTTAGTTAATGTGGGACCAGCCGTGATCCATCATAATCACAAGCTCCTCTCGAAATTAGTTTATAAATTAACTTCACATAGTGAAATAAAGGAAACAAGGGCACTTGAACTCATAATACTAATTGAAAACAGTTATGCCTTTTGGCTGACCAATTGTAATCGGATGACTAAAAATGAATCTATTTTTTACTGCAATTATTTTTAAGGGTTTTCACCTTTATTGAGACAAAACAGTGGAAATTACAGACAGGAATGTGTGGGTAGTGCATAGAGGGGAAGATTAGAGCTATGTGTCGATGCACTTGGTGCTTAAACTAAAAATTGAATGGTAATTTTATGGCCTTACTTACAATTTACTGCCAGATACATGGACGTGTTCATGTTGCCGTATCCATTGTCACCAACGCAGGTATAGACACCTTCCTGCTCTGGTGTTAGATTTTCCAGTGACAGTGAAGAATTTGAGGCGGTTTCCGACATCAGCTCTTTGTCTCCAAAATACCATGTTATCATAGGGGCAGGATTACTGTCTACATCACAATGCAGCACCACCGAGCTTCCCTCCATCACCTCTTGAGATACGTTTACCCACACAGTTCGAGGGGCGTCTGCAAGTTAGAGTTTCAGGAGTCAGCACATATTATCTTAACTCTCGGAAAATTAGGCATTAGTTTTAATTAAAATGATGCAGGGGCACTTACATCTGATGTCCAGGGTAATGAGGCGTTCGTAGACGTAGGTGGTGTTTGGGAAGTTGACCCGGCAACCCAGTAATTGGCCATTGTGCATGGGTTTGGGTGTGAAAGTGAGGGTGCTGGACAGTACCGCAGTGTTGCCTTCCTCAACTTGGTCAGGGGTGAAAACTGGGTCGGGCAGGTAATCCGTGTACATCCAGTGGATTTCTGGGCTCATGTCTGGACAATTGTCTGGGACATAACAGGTCAAATCCAGGCTTTGATCACTTACAATCTCTTCAGGAACATCAATGTTGGGCTGATCTGGAGCAGAAAAGGATATGTAAAAGTCAATATCAAGTCAAAACAGTTAAAGTACTATTAACCAATCCACATTTATGCATCTATCCACAATCTATGCTAACTATTTATGCATTGTTTTATCGAACATATGCACTAAAGCCTTGCATTTTTTATTGAACACCCACTTTTCACAATCCAATATCCTGCTCTACAGTAAATATGCTGTTTTGACATCTAATCTATGCTCCAAAAGCATATGCTTCTATGCTATGCTTCTATGCTAACCAAAGTAAGGTTGATTTACGTTGAGAATGTTGACGTCAAATGCCCCACTGTCTTTGTTTCAATACCTACACAAAGTATTTAAGTCTATTTTTTCAAAACAGCTAAACATCTAAAAATCCTTTCAGTCAATTTACACATGCAAAAATTAAAAACAGTGGAAATGTGGTAAAAAGTGCAGTAAAACAAAGACAGAATGAATGCATTAGCTGGCCACTTTATTAGGTACATTTGTCCAACTGCTTGTTAACATTAATTTCTAATCAGCCAATCACATGGCTGCAACTTAATGCATTTAGGCATGTAGACATGATCAAGATGATCTGCTGCAGTTCAAACCGAGCATCAGAAAGAGGAAGAAAGGTGATTTAATTGACTTTGAACTTGGTATTGTTGTTGGTGTCAGACTGGCTGGTCTGAGTATTTCAGAAACTGCTTATCTACTGGGATTTTCACACACAACCATCTCTAGGGTTTACAGACAATGGTCTGAAAAAGAGAAAATATCCAGTGAGCGGCAGTTCTGTGGGCACAAATGCCATCTTGATGCCAGAGTTCGACTTGATAGAAAGGCAACAGTAATTCAAATATTCACTCGTTACAACCGAGGTCTACAGAAGAGCTTCTCTGAATGCACAACACGTTAAACATTGAGGCGGATGGGCTACGGCAGCAGAAGACGACACTGGGTCCCACTCCTGTCAGCTAAACACAGGAAACTGAGGCTACAATTTGCATAGGCTCACCAAAATTTAACAATAGAAGATTGAAAAAACTTTGCCAGGTCTAATGAGTCTTTCTGCTGTGACATTCAGATGGTAGGGTCAGAATTTGGCGTCAACAACATGAAAGCATGGATTCATCCTGCCTTGTATTAATGGTTCAGGCTGGTGGTGGTGCTGTAATGGTTTGGGGATATTTTCTTGGCACACTTTGGATCCATTAGTACCAATTGAGCATTGTGTCAACACCACAGCCTACCTGAGTATTGCTGACCATGTCCATCCCTTTATGACCACAGTGTACCCATCTTCTGATGGCTACTTTCAGCAGGATAACGTGCCATGACACAAAGTGTGAATCATCTCAGACTGGTTTCTTGAACATGAAAATGAGTTCACTGTACTCAAATGGCCTCCATAGTCACCAGAACTCAATCCAACCCACCATTGGGATGTGGTGGGATGGAAGATTCACATCATGGATGTGCGGTCAACAAATCTGCAGCAACTGTGTGATGCTATCATGTCAATATGGACCAAAATCTTTGAGGAATATTTCCAGTATTTTGTTGAATCTATACCATGAAGGATTAAGGCAGTTCGGAAGGCAAAACTGGGTCCAACTCAGTACTAATAAGGTGTACCTAATAAAGCAGCCGGTGAGTGTACTGTATATGTAATATGTTTATATAAAATAACATTTTTATATGGTCATAATTATAAAGATAATACAGTACATGTAATAAAAGTGGAATGTTTTTTTAAATAGGTTAATTATTTTTCTTTAATATAGTAATGAGAATCATCCTAAAGAAAAATGTTAAATATGCAGGCATAATTGAGGATCATACCAATAATGGGAATAAAAGTTAAAATATGCAAGAAAAAGTGCAACAGCAAGAAAACAAATACACTCTTTCTTCAGTGGAACACAAAATAAAATATTTTGAAGAATGTTTGCCCATACATTTACATTAATTTTAGATTCATCCCAAAACAACATCTGACCCCACTGACTTCCATTACAATAGTACTTTTCATTTTTGTTTTCTTTTGTTTTCTCTTTTCCGTTTTGCAACGAAATGCGATGAAGTACGACAGAATTTTCATTGCTGGATAATATTTGAAAGTTATTGTAAAATATTTAGATTTGATTACAGATAAACACATTCAAAAATAGATATAATAATAAAATATCCTGCACTCTTACCCAACACCTGTAGTTTTGTGAAGTCAGGAAAAGTGTAGATATTCGCTCCACCAAGATCTGCCCTGAAGTAATACTTTCCAGAATGTTCCACGCCAATGTTACTTATCAGCAGTGTGCAGTTTTTTTGCGTCAGGTCGCCCAGAAGCTTGGTCCGTCCCTTGTAACTTTCGTGAACAATATCTGTGCGCGATTTAAGCACCACTGGAGGAAAAAGCTGAGGGTAGGGGTGGCCGAAATACCAGATCCCATGAACCCCCCTGTAAGGCCTGATGCCAGAGGGGTATGTGAATGAACATGGTATAACCACGCAGGAGTTTGTCATGGCTGAAATGTCTCTGGGCATCCACACATTCCACTGAGCGCTTGCATCTGTTTAGAGAAAGAGATTGTAAGGGGGGTCCCATTAAGAAGTACTTTTAAAGGTCTCATGAAATTAAAAATAATGTTTTTTAGATGTTAGTATCAGGATGTTAGTCTTAAGAATATCTAGTGTGCTACAAAACAGTGACAAAATTTGCAGTAGGAAGATATAAACATCCAAAGATTGCAATTTGTCACTTCCGCCTAATGGATCAATATTTTTTTTTTTTTGACGTCACCTCATACTTCAGTTTCTCATCAAATCTTCAGACCAATCAAATGCTCTCTAGTATCTGATATGCCCCGCCCACTTTAAGATGCTTCTCACTTGCTTTTTATTCGATGCACTTGAGCACAACCACTCTCACTTGCAGAGGTGTCATAAAACTTGTTACAACTGACCGGGTGAATGGAGGCAAAAAGTGTCACAGAAGCCGCTGGTGAAAGTGAAGAGTGACACAGTGAAGACAAAAATCCAGCAAAAAGGTGAAAGTGACAAAATAACAATAAAGAAAAATAAACTATACAATATTTACAAAGTATATACAGCATTGTTCAGCTAAATCAAGCCAATGACCTGAACAAAATCTGTTACTGATACACTCTCTCATAGAACAATGAACTCCTACAACTACCCACACAGAGTAAAGGTTTGGGGCCATTTTATATAATTGCTATTTTTCACAGTAGAATGTGTAGATGATGCAGTGGTCTCAAAAGAAGACAAATTGGAAAGACGAAGAAATTGGGTTGCAGATCTAATTGACAGCTCAGAACAGCATGCTATTGGCTGCTTTTTAAAAAAGGGGAGTGACTACATAATGTCCCACCCTGTCTTCTTGTTCAGTTGAGATTCCGTCAAACTTCAAACACAAAATGCACATTTAAAAGCACCTCATATGACCTTTAAAATGCTAATTTCTGTTTAAATGTATACAGTCATTGTTTCTGGAATATGTGACTAGGTTAAAGAATGATAACATTGGCATTTTAGGGTATTTGTAAAAAGTAGCTATTGGTACATATTAGATGTCAAGTATTTAAAGTTTTATGGCAATGGTAATATGTGGTGTACACTACCTGACAAGTTTTGTCGCCAATCCAAGTTTTAGGAAAAACTAATAAAAACTTGAATTCTAGTTGATCAATTGGTATCAGAAGTGGCTTTTATGAAAGGCAAAGGCCTCTAGATTACGCTTATTTTAGCAAAATAAAATATGACCATGCCTTGATTTTTAATTATTTAATTAGGATAGTAAGGTCTGACTTTGCTTAGAGAAAAGTCTTGTCGCTTAACAGAAATAATATACAGTATTGAATATAAAGTCATGGTGCAGTGGAAAAAGAGTTAATATTGTGTATGACTCCCATGAGCTTGGAGGACGGCATCAATACATCTCTGCAATGACTCAAATAACTTATTAATAAAGTCATCTGAAATGGCAAAGAAAACATTCTTGCAGGACTTCCAGAGTTCATCAAGATTCTCTGAATTCATCTTCAATGTCGCCTCCTTCATCTTACCCCAGAGATGCTCAATAATGTTCATGTATGGTGACTGGACTGGCCAGTCCTGGAGCACCTTGACCTATTTTGCTTTTAGGAACTTTGATGTAAAGGCTGAAGTATGAGGAGCGCTATCCTGCTGAAGAATTTTCCCTCTCCTGTGGTTTGTAATGTAATGGACAGCACAAACATCTTGATACCTCAGGCTGTTGATGTTGCCATCCGCTCTGCAGATCTCTCGCACACCCCCATACTGAATGTAACCCCAAACCATGACTTTTTCTTCATCAAACTTGACTGATTTCTGTAAGACTATTAAGTCCATGTGGGTTCCAATAGGTCTTCTGCAGTATTTGTCATGATTGGGATGCAGTTCAACAGATGATTCACCAGAAAAATCTACCTTCTGCCACTTTTCCAAATGATCAACTAGAAGTCAAGTTTTTATTTGTTGCTCTTAAGACTGGGATCGAAGACAAGACTTTTGTCAGGTAGTGTATTTGTTGTACGAAATAATTTCATAACATTTTACATTGTTTTATTTATTCACAGTATGCTACTATGTATTGCATAGACCACTTAAATTATGGATGTCAAACAAAAGAGAAGAATGGCGTTACTTGCACTATAGTATCTTATCTTTGAAGAAAGGAACTACAGAGATTGTTCATTTCAGAATTTCTTACCTTTCAGTAAAAGCAGCAGAGGCAAAAGCAGCAGCTCTAAGCCCTTCATGGTCTCAGTTTAAATCTGGACCATAGACCTCTGTTACGAAATAAACAGCACATGCATTAGCAACACAGTAAGACAACTCACACAGCAGAGCTTTTATTCTAGTGCCGTCTGGGTGTATTTATTACTTTATAACTTGAAATGTATAATATTGTATAATATAATCAAATTTATCATTTTAAAGGCAGAAATGTTGAGGGACAAATTGTAATGGGTTTGAAATGTGACGTGACCTTTGATTAGATCCCTTGCATGTGAACCTGATATTACTCTGATCTTATTTTGACTGTAATATGTCATATTTTCATATTTTCTATATAATGAAAATTAAAATCCAAAATATGGAATAAAAACAAAGTATATACAGGGGCACAAAAAAGTCAAGGGGAAATTTATTGCTTTAAATAATTATATATATATATATATATATATATATATATATATATATATATATATATGTATATATATATTTTTTTCTTTTTATTAATTTATACATTTATTTTGTAAGATATCATTTTTGTATTACAGTAATGAGAAACAATGTGGGATTCATCCTAATCTCTATGATGCAAATACTACACAATAGAGGAATTGTTGTGGAAACAATGACAAAAGAAATTTCACAGAAGTCAAATGCAGTATGAACTATTTTGTGACTGACAAAAGAGATTTCATTCATCTAGCTATCTTAGTTCATTCAATATAGAAATCTGATGGAATTAAATCCAAATTAAATTTATATATGACATACAAGTTCATATTTGGATTTTACATATAAAATATGTCATATATGCAACATACGTTAAAAATCTATACAAAAATGGCAGCTTAAATATATCGATTTTTTTTAAAAAAATTGGAATTACAAAAATGTACATACTATAAATATCTGTGTGAGTGTGTGTGCATGTGTGTGTGTGTGTATGTTTGTTTATATATGCCCATATGAATAGTTCAAAGTTGGCGGTTCATTCCGATGGGTTGGCTGCACGGTGGCGCAATGAGTAATGCTGTCGCCTCACAGCAAAAAGATAACTGGTTCGAGGCTCGGATGGGTGAGCTGGCATTTTTGTGTGGAGTTTGCATATTTTTCTCGTGTTGGCATGGGTTTCCTCCGGGGGCTCTGGTTTCCCCTACAGTGCAAAGACATGCGCTATACAGAAGGTGAATTGGCTAAGCTAAATTGTCTGTAGTGTATATGTGTGAATGAGTGTGTACGGGTGTTTTTCCAGTATTGGGTTGCAGCTGGAAGCCGCTGAGCAAAACATATGCTGGATATGTTGGCGGTTCATTCCGCGGTGGCGACCCTTACATTATTAAAGGGACTAAGCTGAGAAGAAAATGAATGAATGAATGAATGAATAAAGAGTTTGGATGTAAAAACCTCCAAGTGCCATCTGAAATTTTCTTCTGAAATTAACATTTTCCTCAGGTTCCTTTGTGCAGGTTCAGTAATTTTATTTTTATGATATGGTTTAGGTTAAATGTATTGCCTTTAATATGAAATAACAAAGGAGGCTAAGAAAAATAGTTATTTTAAAAGACAATTTCAGATGGGACTTCTGATGGGACTCTTCATATATTAACACACAAGATTTAACATAATAAAATATGTAGATATATGTAATTCCAATTTTAGATTCATGGTGGTCATTTTGCAATATTTTGGAATATATGTTGCATATATGACATTTTATATAGGCCTATAAGAAATCCAAAAAGCTTGGCATCGTGACTTAGTGGTTAGCACTGTTGCCCCACAGCAAGAAGGTCGCTGGTTCGAGTTTGCATGTTCTCGCTGTGTTTGTGTGGGTTTCCTCGGGGTGCTCTGGTTTCCCCCACAGTCCAAAGACATGCGCTATACAGAAGGTGAATTGGCTAAGCTAAATTGTCTGTAGTGTATATGTGTGAATGAGTGTGTACCGCTTTTCCCAGTATTGGGTTGCAGCTGGAAGCCGCTGAGCAAAACATATACTGGATATGTTGGCGGTTCATTCCGCGGTGGCGACCCTTACATTATTAAAGGGACTAAGCTGAGAAGAAAATGAATGAATGAATGAATGAATAAAGAGTTTGGATGTAAAAACCTCCAAGTGCCATCTGAAATTTTCTTCTAAAATTAACATTTTCCTCACATTCCTTTGTGCAGGTTCAGTAATTTTATTTTTATGATATGGTTTAGGTTAAATGTATTGCCTTTAATATGAAATAACAAAGAAGGCTAAGAAAAATAGTTATTTTAAAAGACAATTTCAGATGGGACTTCTGATGGGACTCTTCATATATTAACACACAAGATTTAACATAATAAAATATGTAGATATATGTAATTCCAATTTTAGATTCATGGTGGTCATTTTGCAATATTTTGGAATATATGTTGCATATGTGACATTTTATTTAGGCCTATAAGAAATCCAAAAAGGGTGGCATCGTGACTCCGTGGTTAGCACTGTTGCCTCACAGCAAGAAGGTCGCTGGTTCGAGTTTGCATGTTCTCGCTGTGTTTGTGTGGGTTTCCTCGGGGTGCTCTGGTTTCCCCCACAGTCCAAAAGACATGCAGTGAATTGGATGAACAAAACTGCCCATAGAGTGTGTGTGAGAATGCAAGTGTGTATGGGTATTTCCAAGTACTGGGTTGCAGCTGGAAGATGAGTTGAGACCAGTGAAAAATAAGGAACTAAGGCAAAGAAAAATGAATGAATGAATAAATGAAATCCTAATATGAATTTGTATGTCATAATTGTCAAAATCAGATTTCTATATGGGATGACATCCTTTACTCGAAATAAAGTCAACATACCATCTCATACACCTCTTGTTGTTATGCTACATCTCATGATAGACTCTATACACGTTATGTTATACAGTTTTATCCACTTTGTTTGTAGTCAGGCAGTACCTTGAACTGCTGGCAGAGAGTGCTGAACCGCAACCAACTTGAATTCAGTAGCCGCTGCTGTTCTTCCCTCACTTACAAGGGGGCGTTCTCTCACAGCACATCAACTCAGCTTCCCTTCTCATTTGTCTTAAAACAACAACGAAAAGAAAATGACATCAGTATCAAGAAGCAACATTAGCTCTTAACCCACACAAGCGCGCTGCTGTACCGGGCCGCAGTGTGTGGGAGAGAGGAGAATTGCTCATTATGAGTGTACGACGTCAACCCTTTGCGTGTTTGGCAGGGCATACAGACAGCACTGTTCAAGATATGACACATATTCCACATCTACGGCACATTTATCCACGCTCACACGCGTCACCAGCTGCCTCTGTTTACTTTATTCACGCGCGTGTCAATGCTGCGCGCACTCATTACACGTGCGCGCGCCCGACGCTCCTCCAGAAGATTTGGAGCAGACGGAGAGTGCAGATGGCGGCAGATAGATGGATTGTTTATGGAATTTTAAAGATTATTATATTATAAGTAATATATTCCCTTGATAGTTCACCAGGTTTGACGCAGTTATTGAAGGAGTAAACTTAAGAGAAACTGCAGCAAGATGAGTCTTAATTGAACTTTAGGTTAACTCCCAGGTGATTCAAAATAACAGTCATGACACTAGCATTCGATAGTATGGTCGCTAATTTACATTTAAATAATGACCGTATTGTAAATTGAAGATCTCTGTTATTTATAAAACATTAAAACTTAATTTTGTCTCATAGTGAAATGCATGATCAGATTCAGAGATATTGCACCTTCTAAACTCTTATTTTATCATTGTTTTCAATGAGTTTCCAACACAGCTTTTAAGTGAAACGGGTTTTGGAGGGGGGAAATTTCTAAAGTTAATTGCATTTCTAATTTTCATTTCATGGACTAAAAAAAGCATGACTTATTCTTAAAAAATGTCTTTATTTTTTTTTTATGTAGAAGAAAGTGATTCATACCAGTGCAAATGTCATGATAGTGATTTCATAAGTAAATTACTGAAATTAACTTATTTAAATTCATTATTATATACATTATTTCAATAAAGAATGACAATGAATATTATTTTTATATATTAAAAATCCATATAGTAACATGAGAATAACCTCTGATTTTTAAAAAAATTATTGAATTGAAATTAGATATTAAAATATATATTGTACATGCGGGGGCGACACGGTGGCTCGGTCGTTAGCACTGTCGTCTCACAGCAGGGTTCGAGTCCTGGATGGACCAGTTGGCATTTCTGTGTAGAGTTTGCATGTTCTTCCCGTGTTCGTGTGGGTTTCCTTCAGGTATAAACTAAATTGTCCGTAGTGTATGAGTGTGAATAAATGTGTATGGATGTTTTCCAGTTCAGGGTTGTAGCTGAAAGAGCATCTGCTGTGTAAAACACATGCTGGAATAGTTGGCGGTTCATTCCGCTGTGGTGACCCCTGATGAACAAAAGGACTAAGCTGAAGGAAAATGAATGAATAGATTGTACATGCCAAATAAATGTTAAAAAAATTAGTTTATTCTGTGAAACAGATATATATATATATATATTTTTAAAGTTTGTTTTTGGAACCACTGAACAGTCATAGGTGGAAGGACATGACGATTAATGTAATGTAAATGATGATAATATTGTTTTAATTTACTTTATCTCTTTAAGAGCCAAAAAAAAAAAAAAAACTGATTGATTAAACTCACTGATTAAACAATGAATAACAGGCCAAGTTGACCATAACAAGTTAACGAATAAAAACTACTCACAATATTATTTTTGGAACCACTGCACCTCTGAACATTTTTCAAAATGTCTTCTTTTGTTTTCAAAGGAAGAATGTCAGTCATAGATGGAAGGGAATGACGATAAGTAAATGATGATAAAATTGTTTAATTTATTGGACCTATCTCTTCAAGAGAAAAAAAATGTTTAACATATTCATTAATTTTCTTTCGGCTTAGTCTTTATTTCAGATGTTGCCACAGTGTAATGAACCGCTAACTATTCCAGAAACGCTCATACACTACGGCCAATTTAGTTACCCAATTCACATATAGCGCATGTCTTTGGACTGTGAGGGAAACCAGAGCAACCCAAGAAAACCCACGTGAACACAGAGAGAACATGCAAACTCCACACTTAAACACCAACTAGCCCAGCCGGGACTCCAGCCAGCAACCTTCTTGCTGTGAGGCGACAGTGCTAACCACTGAGCCACCATGCTGCCTGTTTAACATGTTTAAGAGTTTATTAAAAGTAAACAATCATAGCAGGTCAAGTGGACAATATTAAAAAATAATAACTCCTTGCATTATTATCCAGGCATCCAGTGCGAAATATATATAATTTTGTTGTTGTTGGAACACATTCACAATAAACAATTCAATTTGTCTAAGTAAAACACAACTTTTTTCACAGACAAATTCTACAAAATCATTGTTGAGTCTAGTCAAAGCTTCCAACATTTCACACAGTAACAACTGAAAGCATACATAAACACCTCATTAAACAAACATCCACTTCCAGCCTCTCTCTCTCTCTCTTTTTTAAATTCTTGTTAATCATAACCGAATAATTATAATGACACCAGCTGTTCCAGAAAAACACAACTCATTTATATGCCCATCACACGAGATCTAAGAGGCAGCAAACTGCTGTTGCTTGGAGCTGAAACCCCTGGCAGCACGCGTTAGAAAGGATGAAGCAATTCCCAAGCCGAACAAACAAACCCATTCATGCTCCACAAACAAGCCTCGCACCATCCAGGACACTTGCCTCATACCAGATCCACAGTCCAGTCTTGGGTACTCTTCTAAAGGGGACCAACTCGTCTCTCAGCTCCTGGTTCTTCAAAGTCCTCCTGCTCTTCAGAGGTGCAAACATAAGGAGAAGAAAAGACAAAAAGGGAGGGTGACGGAGACAGACAGAAAGGGAGAGGAGATGATAGAGAGTTTTAGCTAAAAGCCGGGCAAATGTGTGCCGTGGGCAGCCTTGAATATGCAGACATTTTCCTCCATGCATTCCTCTTCTTTAGCCCACATTGCGCATTCCTCTCCCTTTCCAGCCTGGCTGTCATTGTTGCTTATAGTTTTTTGGAAGTATATTTCTGTTATAGGGGTCAGATGATACAGTGTATGAGCTGGCACTGGTTTCAGGATATTCATCTTTGATGCATGACTCACTTTATGAGCTAAATCTGTGAATTTTTCCTCCATCGCCGGTTTGTTTTAACTCGACACGAAGTGGCAATGGAGCCGGGTTTAATTTGTTAATGCACATATCTTGTTTTATTGTGAATGATTTATCGGTGGGTGTTATTCTACATCAGTAAAAACATGTAAGCATTTGTAATCTTCATCAAACCGTAATAAGTTGTTTTCTTTTCAATTTACTGTAGGCCAATGAATATGTTAATGTATAGTTTAGCAAATTTAAACATTTGCATGTATATGTTTTAAAGGAATTATTAGCAATTTTATGGTGATTTAAATTGTTAAAATAGATCCAGAAAATGCATTCAAACGTTTCTGGATTTAAAAAAGGTTAATGAAAAAATATGAATCAGCACATTGATGATAATAAGAACATTTTCTTGAGCGCTAAGTATTGTGTAACACTGAAGACTGGAGTTATGATGCTGAACATTCAGCGTTGTCATCACAGGAATTAATGATTTTTAAAAACATTTCACGAGTTCACCTGCTCCATCAGTTGGGTCAAACATGGCTCAGGCCCCACCCCCCATCCTTTTCTTTAGACATTATGAAAAAACAGTGGAGGAGATGGGAAAACGGAGGGATGCCGGAACAAAAGTCGACTGAAACAGTGCAAAGACTGCTTCTTATATACACATGTGATGATTGACTGACACACCTGACTGATCATTCTCCTCCTAGAACTTACGGTAGGAAATCATTAAAATAGAATATACATTTTTTTATGTGTTTTTTAATATAATAACGCTTCACATTATTTTTTATTTTACTCTATTTTAAATCAAATAAATGCAACCTTGGTGAGCATATGAGACGTACCGACAAAAAAACACTAGAATGATATACAGTAACTCCACACAATTCAATATTTATTTAACTATTTTTATATTTTGTTTTTTTCACTGACTAATCCTGTGTAAATAAACCAAGTTTGCATGAGTTTATTGTATAGGATCATATAGAAAGTATCAATTTGAAAAGTCAGATGGGTGATTTTCAGAAAAATCTGGACACTTTATACAGTTAAAGACAAAATTATTAGCTCTCCTGGAAAACTTTTATTTATTTATTTTTCAAATATTACCCAAGTCATGTTTAATAAAACAATGAAATTTTCACAGTATTTCCTAAAATATTTTTCTTCTGAAGAAACGTATTTATTTTAGTTTGGCTGGAATAAAAACAATTAATAAAATGTTTAAAAATAGTAATTTTTTTAAGGTTAACACTATTAGCCATTGGCAACAAATCAAACCACTGTTGTCCAATAACTTAACCAATAACCAATAAGCTTAATTAATTTAACCTGCCTAGTTAAACTAATAGACTTGTCTTTAAATCGTAATTGAAGCTAAATTACAAAAGAAATTGGTAACTAAAATTAGTTATTAAAGTATTATGTTTATAAAATATGTCAAAAAAACTCAAACAGCATTTGAGAAATATTTAAGAATTAAAAAAAGAATTAAAATATCAATAATTTGTAATAATTTACAATATATCTGATACACAAATATGAGAGGTCTAAAACTCATACTTGGGTTTTCGTAGTGGCTTAAAACATACTTTTATTCAGTACAAACACTGTAAAAAAAAATCCTGGCTGCATCATTTTTTAGGCTGAATCAAATTAACCTCATGACTCCATTGAATGGGCGGTTCATTCCACTGTGGCGACCCCTGATTAATAAAGTGACTAAGCCGAAAACAAAATGAATGAATGAACGGGTGCATTGAATGTATGTTATGTTAAACTCACTTAAAACAGCTTCCGTAGCTTAGAAAATTAAGATAGAAGATGAATAACTTAGTTTAATAAGTTACAATGAACTAAAAAGGTATGCTTTCATAATTAATCATATCATTTTTACAGTGTACAGGGTCTCTTTAGAGTTGTTTCCATAAATATATATATATATATGGAATATATGTTGTCACTGGGACTCCCATAGTTGATTGAGGGGGCTGTAGAACGAATGCACAACAAGGAGCCTGTGTGAAATCAAGCGCAAGACATGCCACAACACCCCACACACACATGCTACAACAGCACACACACACACACACATATATGAATAGTGTACCTCATGCCAACACACACTCACATTACAATGTGTGTATTACATCAGTAAAGCTGCTAAATGACCTTTCTATGCTACTGCATCCTTCACTCAAAGGAAAGTTTGTGTGTGTCTGTGTGTGTGAGGGAGTGACAGATCTGTCTGATATTAGAGAGCAGTTTTGTTCATCCCAAAGCATGTGGTACTGGAGCCATGGTGTTCTGTCTCATACTTCCAATGAATTGCCTGAAATATAGTGGGTGTCGGAAACAAATATCAGACAATGCAGCTCACAAAAAAGGAAGAAAGAAAAGAAAGAAACCTTATATTTTTACTCAGTATGACTATAAAACAAAAACAACAACAATTCTTATTATTTTAAAATATTCTACATATAAAAACTTTTATGTAAAATTATATAATAATGACAAGAAAAATGATTTCATATTTAATAATTGTTTAATAGATTTTTTTTTACAATAACCATTAAAAATAATATTATCTTACCACCATTTGAATTATTCAAGTAAATTGGAATCATCTTTATTTAGATAGCACAATGTAGATTATGTCAATATTACAAAGTTATATTACAATGTAGATTGCGTCATAGCAGCTTAACATAGACTATTAGACCATTAATAAAATACTAATACTTTTCCAATATAACTATTGGAGTTGAAAAATAAGCAGTTCTTGTAGACTTTTCTAAAGTTAAGTATACTATCTTTCCAGGCTAAATGAAAAACCTCTAGTTTTGTTTTCTTCCATCTATGTTTAGTGTGCTCATTTAGCCACGGTTTCAAATTTTTCCCCTAAATTATACAAAATGAACAAATCACTAAAGAAATATATAAATTTTAAAATAATTCTTCTCCTGCTACTACTACTATTAATAATATTTCTATCAAATAATATAAATGAACTAAATGCATTACTATGTAACATATTATTCTCACTCACTCACTTTCCTTTGGCTTATTGCAGGCTTTATCAGGTGTTACCACAGCGGAATGAACCACCAATTTCTCTGGGAACTGTTTTACACAGCAGATGCCCTTCCTGCAACAACCCAGCCCTGAGAGTAAACCCTCAGTGCTGGGAAACACCCACACACTCTCCCATTCACATATTACGGCCAATTCGCCTAGCGCTTAACTTTGGACTGTAAATAAGAAAACATACAAACTCCACACAAAAAGACCTCCTGGTTCCACCGGGACTCCTTCTTGCTGTGAGGTGACCATGCTAACCACTTAGTCACCATGCTGCCTGTACATATTACCATTTCACAATAAAATACAAAAATATTTAATAATAATAATAATTAAACCATTTAAATGATAGAAAGTTAAAATAAAACAACAGCTCAGGCTCATTCTGAAACGTATGTACCTCTATATACTCTTCTGGAGACAGCCAAATACGTACCAGGAGCTATGTTTTTTTTTTTCAGTTTTGTTCCCGCAAATTTACCAGAGGCCGCTGTGTACACTTTTTCAGATCTCAAATTTCTCTCGTGAGTGCCATTCGCGCTTACTGTTCTCGCGTAAATCCACCATAGGCTGCTGTCGACTGACTGTCTGACTAACTGACTGACTGACTGACTGACTGACCAATCAACTGACACACCCTCCTCCTTTCCTAAATCCAACAAATAGGCTTTTCAAAAGGACTGATTGACCCACCCACCCACCCACTTCCCTAATCCCAACTGACAAATTAATAAAGCAATCTAGAAAAAGAAAAGCCCTCACCTGATTTTCACCACATTCTTACCCTGTTATTTACTCTTTATTGAATTTTTTTGTATTCTATTTTTGTCTTACCTGCTTTCTGGAACTGCTCTTCACCAGACTCGAACCTCATCGTTGTGGTCATCTTCTCTCTGCGTCTTCAAGTTCACCAAAGTACTTACTGAGCTAACTGGACAGTCTGGTAACAGCGGAAAAGCCGTCAATATGGAGCTAAGCGGTCAGCTGGTAAGCACGAAAAGAAATGACGTCATACCACCATGTACCGTTTATTTTAAAAATTAAATGCAGCCATACGTACTTCTGGCAACATAATTCGTGACTTCTAGAAATGTATATAGGGCTACGTTTTCAGAATGAGCCTATGTTGAAAAAAACAACACAGGCTCATTGTGGATACATACCCAGGTCTACATCTCTGGGAAACCACAAATATGTACCTGGGGCTATGTCTGGCTGTGAAACGAACGATATGGGGCGGTATGATTCCGCCAACAACTTCTGTTGGTTTTTGTGCTACTGCTGACCAATTACCTCTGTATGAATGGTTTTTCTGGGGTTACCAGTTTGTCCAGTAGCTCACCATGTACACCCATAGACTTTGGATGCAGAGCAGAGTGGACTGTGATGACAGGGTTCAAGTCTGGCAAAGAACAGTTCCAAAAACAAGGTAAAAAAAAAAAAAAAAAAAAACATGATAATAATAACAGGCTAAAAATGTGGTAGAAAATGACTGCTTTTATTTTCTCGATTGCTTCTGAAAACATAATTGGTTGGGTTTAGGGAAAGAAGTGGGTGGGACAGTCGACAGCAAACTTGTCGCTGAATGCACATTG